CTTATATCTTATCAAACGCGAATCAGTCGCATCTACGCGCACAGGTCCCAAATCGCGCGAACAAACAACCGCACGCGAGATGACAACGCAACGTCCCTCGACATCATCAGCCATGCCCGCAATACTACACATACCTGCGGCGAAAGTGTCATTCGCTCCCCGCTCGCGGAAACGTCATTGTCATCCTCTCGTGTCCTAGACCCGTACCCCACCCCAACGGCCCATTAGGTACACCTGTCTGTCGCATTCTTCCTAGTCCCCCCTTTCATCATCAACAGCGGCAGCAGTTCCAGCTACCTTTTCCGCTCTCCGCGGCGATTGCAGCTACGGGAGACCGCACGAAAGAGATAGCCGTAGCTGCTGCTGCAGTAGAAAGAGCGCCGCCGCCGTCGCCCGTGGATGAGGAATTTTTACTGGTGCGCTTTCCTTCTCCCATCCATAGAGTCTGTATGCATGTAGTGCTTGGTTTATGATGAGGGTCCGCAGATGAGCAAACGAGAAAGACAGAGCGAGAGAGCCGAGTTAAAGGTGAGCCGACCCGGGTTAAAGAAGAACACCGCTGCTCTCTAAGGCACCCTTGTTGATGTTGTTGTTGTTGTTGTTTGGTTCTCTCATGATATACCCACTCGTCGCTTTGTTCGCCCAAGGGATAATGTAGCGGGGCACAGTTATCCAATACCAGTCCACTGTTCTTTATGTGTTGTTTTTTCTCAGGCGGTGGTGTTTTCTTGTCCCCCTTTTCGGATCAAATTGATCAACCGATCGACCTTGCGAGCAGAGGGCAAAGGGACACCCGATCTTCGATGCGTTAGCTACGTATAAAAAAGGTTAAAGTCTTTCTCTCGTGGATTCTTCCTTTTCCTAGTTCCCCTTTTTTTTTCGTGCTCGGTCGTCGTGGCAGCGCAATCAACTAATGATGCTCGAGCGTCGCTGTGTCTCTCTGTGCGTGGTCGCCTTTCCTTTCCGGGCGATGTCTTTTCGACTATTCGCGTGCTCGCCAACTGGCTAGTCTCTTCCTCTTTCTCATCTTTCTCCTTCCACGTCTTTGTGCAGCATCCCTCGCCGGCTCTGCTCATCAGGTTGATGGGCTTGTACTCCAGTTTCCGTTCTCCGGTCTAACCCCCCTTTGTTTTTTTTTCCACACCCCGAGTGTTGTTCTCGGTTGTTTTGTGTTCGTGTGCTCTTGATTGGAGCCGGATGTTCAAAAATTTTGATGGGATTGCTTAGGTGAAACGCAGAAAAGAGAATAGTGCACAGAATGTGTATACTTACCATCTTCGCAACAACATTAGGCCTGAGATCCAGTGTTTATCGTCGTACGAGACAACGTAGCCGAGCGTGTGTATATAGCTGGGGAATTATTATTCATGAAGGAGCGACAAAAATCATTAATTCGCATGTATATTCAAAACAGCAAAGTGCTCCGCTCCTTCCGCCGAGCAGAGGATATTGTTGTTATCGTTGTCGGTCTACCTATATGTCGGTGCTGCTGCCGGTGCTTTGGTTAACTAAACACGCGCGAAACTATTACGCCATCACATTCGGGAGTTGGATGTGTGTAGGTATGTCGGATAGGTGCACGAATACCGATGCGTTTAGGAGTGATGGGCTCTACCGCGTTTTCTATTTACTTATCAATTTTGGAAATTGAGTACGGGGTGTACAGTGCATTGTATACATCGTTGTTTGATCTTGGATTATCTTGATTGCTATACCGGGATTTGGGGTAGAGGTTTGTTTTGGCAGTGCTGGGGTATCATGTTTGAGGTTGCAAAAGATATTGTGCTTCCGTCTTATTTTTTATGAATTTTACCTTCAAATGATTTTTTCCATCTTCAAGAAAGTATAAATGAATAATGAATCAGCATGATCTCACCATGACTAAACTTCGGCCGCAATAATAATTTTTCTCTGCGTGATTTTCACGAGGCTAAAATGAGACAGTTAATCTTAAACTCGACTCAAAACATGTTCTGAGCCACATCGTCGAGCTAATCTCCGCGTGCACGATTTTTCTTCGCGCCGTGCGCTAAAAAGTGTTGAAATTGATAAAAATAAGAGCTCATATACAGAAGCGGCAGCTACGGCGTATTAATGCACGCGCCAGGGCCGAGAATAAATCACTCGGATGCCGTTGACTCGCGCCGTCCACGAGAGAGTGGGAGAGAGATATCTTTACATCCTCGTATTCCATACCCATTAGGGTGTCGCCCGATCTCTTTCCCTGCTTTTTTTGCGCGAATTTGCATTAAGCATCGGAGCGATTTATCTCCTTCAGTCCCAGTATCCGGGCGCTGCTGCCCACCCTGGCCCCCTCGCCGCGGATGACGTGCTGTAATGAAAAAGTTCTGCCACGGAAAGTGAGAGAGGGAGTGGAGAGAAATTTAACGATTTTGCGAATTAATAACCCGCACAACCTTAGCAGGTTCTTCGGGGATAGCAATAAAAACGCTCCTCTTGTCCCCTATAGCTGGCTCTCCCTCTCGACCATGGTGGGAACGCAAGAGGCGCGCTTTCTTTCGTGTTTGCTTTGCTCGAGGCTTTGCTCGTGATTGATCGAGTCGAGCATATTGAATGTGTCGTTTGCTCTCCACGTGTAAGTATGTGGATTAAAAAAATTGTGATGTTACCGATTGTGCATGCGATAATTTAGCGCCAAAAATGAGGGGAAAAAAGTACCTTTTGGTTGACTTATGTGTGCAAAGTTTTCATTGACACGCCACCAAATGGGTAAAAAATAGTTAAAACTGTTTAAACGTGCTGGTAAAAAAAAATTGTAACAATTCGCTTGGACAATTGTCGGTAAAAATGTACTTTTCATTTTTTTACCGATGCACACTAAAACATGAGAAAAAATGTTGAAAGCCCATAATACAGCATTGATTGTAAGCATAGCTTATTGTACTGATTAAAATTTTTGTCGGCTCTTAATGTAATGCTTATGAGATGCGAAGCAAAATCGTTACGTTGCGACGCAAATCGGCGGGATGAATAGGCGCGAAACGCGTGAAAAAAACTTCCTCCATTACCAGAATAATATCATACGTGACCGCGGACGTTCCCAAATAAATCCACATGAAATTGTCGTCGCTGCGACCACACAACAGCAACAACGAAGCGCTTCCCAAAAGCTCGAATTTAGGCCAATGAGGCGCGAGCGCGTGCGCGCGAGATAGCCGGCTGCAGATGCGAATGAATGAATGAATGAAAACAGGATGGGAGAGCGAGAGAGAGATTTGTGTACGCGTGTGCACAAACAGCGATAGCGGAAAACCGCGCCGCGACCACTTATACGTATGGATACGTGCACGTAGACGCGGTCGGGGAGCGAAAATTTATGAAAATGATAGCCGTGCCCCGTTGCGACTGCTGTTTACAATGGCTTTTCCGCGAGCATAAACTCGCGAATTCAATTAGATTTTAGGAGGGAAGGTCTCTGTTGTGCTCGCGAGTCTCATTGTATGAAATCTCGGCGAGAGAAACGCTTGGATTAACGTTTGTAATGCTGGGCTTGTGATTCGCAAAGATAAGAGGGCTAATTGTTCGTTTGGGGTGCTGTGCGAGAGTAGCGACGCTATTGTTCTCTGGTACTGTTTGCTGCGTGAGTATTGCACTCACGGGTACTTGCTGTTTCGAGAAATTTCTCGCGGTACTGAAAAACCCTCGTTGCGCTGGTACTTGTAGTAAGTGACGACGCGATCGAGTTCATCGCGAGATCTTTTAGAAGCTGATAAAGTCACTCTGACAAGATTTTACTTTTTTATACACCGATGTCACTGTCGATGACCCAATGATTGTACCAACTTATTGACTGAATAAGAAACCATACTCTTTTACACCGTTTGTCTACGTTGTACTAATGCATACTCGCAAAAGTCGCGAGTTGTGTGGAAAACGTGCCTGCGATTCGATGCTACTTTATTAGTAAGAACCTACGGTAGGGTGTTTAAGTTTGATAAGGTACTATTTGAGCTGGGTCGTCTACACCTATGCATTGTTTGCACAGTTTATCGACGCTGGGAGCTTTTTTTCGTGCCCTCGTGCTCGTCCAAAATAGTAAACGTATGTTGATCCAGGGGATGTAAGTTTTTGTGGGTTCAATATTATTAGTAATATTAATTTGCAAATATTCTTTTAAACGCGATGGTTCGATTTTACTAAATAAATTTAAAAAATAGTAATAATGGAAATTAATGTTTTTAAATTGAATTTGTAACGAAACGCGGTTCCAGAATTTCATTTAAATAAATTCTCCACACTTGACAGCTCCACGATGGTAACGTTTACATTTGAATGTCCATGCATAAAAAAAATACCATCTCGACCAAAAAAGCTTTTTTGCGCCGCAAAAGCAATAGAAAAGTGGGAGGGAAAAAAAATGTACTTTGAATTTTCAGCCCTTTCGTACTTGCGTTTGCGAAATTTCCATAGACACGCAACCAAACGGGTAAAAAATTGTCAAAGCTACTGAATGCTACTAGTGGCAAAAAATTCCAACACGCAGCTTGAAAAATTTTTATTAGAAAACATTTTCATTTAAGAAATCGATAACAACTTTCTGTTGCTGGTGCGAACTTTTTTTGAATAAAAATCATCGGATGGTAATAAAAAATGCAGAGTGAAATTTTTTTTACCGTTGCGTACGATAATATACACATATAAAAAAAAGTCAGAAGTCCACAATATAATATTTGTTACAAGAATAGCATATTTTATATTAAAGCAATTAACATATATTTTGGCTCTTCTTCGAGAAAATTTCATCATACTTACACACCTCATTCGTTCAGCAAAAATAAAGCGTGTCGAACTCGCGAAAATTCAAAATGTAACGCTCTCCGATTCGAATGCAGTACATATATATAGTATAGGCGGCTATACATTGCCATTCGAACTCTAACGGCATTCAGATTCGGAGCACCCCCGAGTACGGTCCTCGCCAGCACCCCATGGAGACGTCGACTCGCGAATTGAAAAAAGCAAGTAGGAAGTAAACTCACCATTGCGAGCGACATCGGTTACGAGTAGGCCAGTGATTAGAAGCAGAGACGACACGACCTCCACTGTATACAAGTAAGTCAAAACGGAGAAAAATCTCCGAATCTCCTTCGGCGGCAGTTGCCTCTCTTTCTTACTTTTTTCTTTCGGTACAAGTAAGCGATGGGCATAGGAAGTGGGTACAACTCCGATTTACATTTGGTTTTACCGCGAGTGTTAATATCCTTGTGCTCCGAAAGGCAAAATTTCGGTCAGTGTATAGCGAGTAGGTGTTCTACATATAATCTGTACTTTTTCGTAAGAAGCGAGCGAACGCGGTAAGGATATATACTATTTGCGTCATCCAAGGGCAGGTAGCTTTAAAAGCCAAGACGGTTCGTGCAGTGGAGTTTACTCCGTTGATTTCCATCCCCTTGAGCTTGCCGTGATTCTACACAGGCAATAATACATATGTGTTTTGTTTGTATGTGTAGGTGCTGCGCGCGACTTTCAACACAAGGGTTATAGCCGCATACGAGATTTCAGAGTTGGCCGAATAAACGCAACAATTACTTATCACAACGGGCAAACGAACACAAAGCTCTGCGTGACAGAATAGCCTCTGGAGATGCACAGCAGAGTGTGTCCTGACGAACGAGAAAATCGTCGGCGCGACGAACACACCTAACCTCCAAATTGACTCGTCAAGAGAGCCACCCCAGAGCTCTACGACATCGTCATCATCTCGGGCTCCTCCGCGCCAAAGTATGATCAACGTTATTTCACTATAATCTTACTGGAGCTTCATTAACATTTAACTCTGTTTTGCACATTAGGTCCAGCTTTTCGGAGTCAGATTACGAATCTTCTGTCTCTGTCGTCATTTCTATACACACACAGCTTCTCGCTTTCGGAGTCAAAACAACACACGTCGCTGTTACATATGTCGTGTGTATACATCAAAGTAATCGCGCACCCTGAACATCTGATCAGCCACTGAAACGCAGTACGCGACGACGGAGTCGTCCTCGGAGGACCGCGGCGATATTTACGGCTATGAGGTAGTCGATACGTCGTGGAGCGTGGCTCGACGGCGAATGCTGGCCGTGAGCACGACGACGGAGGAGCCCGGCTGCATGCTGGCTGCGCGACCGGCGTCGAACTGCTGCTACCACTACTGCCTGCTAGAGTCGAGCGGTGCGCACAGTAACATCCACGTTTGCACACACGCGCCGACGCTTCCTCTTCCCCTCAGCGACTAGAACGAGGATGAGTGAGATAGTCGCTGGATACGTGGGGCAACTAGTTAGAAAGAGACAAGAAAACGGGCGCAAGGTTGTGTTGTATCAGGCAATGTAGGAGAAAAGACTGCTGCTGATAGTGGGGATGGAAGCTGTAATGCTGGCTGTCCACTGTAGGAAGTTAAAATGATGTACTGGTGTGGACTCTTCTGGGATTTTAATGGCACTGCTATCATCGCCGTTTTTCAAATGTGCATGGTAGGGTATTACATATTGTTTATAAAATTTTTATAATTATTTTTGTATGAATTATGATCATTTCAATAGATGGACTTCAATATATCTTCATTGTGATTATTTGTATTATTTTCAGTGTTTTATCATTCAGTTTGCATTGTAACTGGGATGGAATTAACAAATATTTATCAGATCCTAAGGCACACAAGACTATTGAACAAAAAAAGAAGCAATATTTAACATGATATTAAGTGATTATGATAAGAATGGTGTTTACGATGGAATTTGGCAGGACTTCTGATGTGCAAGGTAAAACTATGCGATGTTTTAGACATTTAATACACTATTACTTTATTTGCAAAACTTTTGTTTGATTATTTGATAATGGTTTAGATTATGATAGCAGATCAGAGCCATTGAACATAATAAAAAGATAATTTTATGGCGATTATATGGAGAATGCAGCATCAGAACTTTATATGTGAAAAGTAAGAAGTTACACATTGTTTAAGAATTTTTTATAAAACTTAGTATCTTTGAAAAATGTTTTATTGATTATCTGATACTTATTGAGTCTTATTATAATAATTTATATCATTTGCAGTGTTTGTGATTCAATATACAAATTAAGATGAATTAAATTGATATTTACGAAGAAAAAGGCTATATATAATTATTGATCAAAGGTCTTAAAGCAACATTCAAAATAATACAAATAACGGTTTGAAATAATAATTAAAATGGAAACGAACATGT